TCTTCGCCCTCTCACTTCTTGTTATTCTCTATCGCTAGAAAGGTGTTCCAAAGGAGAAATGAGCCCGCCAGGCAGCTGCGGTCCCATTCACCTTACACATGGAAAGAACCGACCTCTGAGATCAGTAAACACTTTTCTTTGATGTATTGGGTTGGCTTATAAGTGATGGCGTTTTTTTCTCACTCAAAAAATTGCGCTAAAGGGGAAAAGTTTGCTAATGCATTCAATCTTGTTTTGCAGAGAATTCCTTGCCCTATACGACACTCCTCACAATTTTTTGAAGCTTCTATTTTCATTAACTTTTACGTGCTCAAATGGGAGTGCCAGATCGATTGAGCATTTTCGACAGATTTCCTTTTTAACTAACTCTAACTCGGTCTAACGGAAGCTGAAATCGCTTGAGCCTGTTTGTAAAATATTTGACTAAGAGCTATTTCTTTTAGGAAGGCGGCTAATTGTTTAATCGGTTCAAAGATTTCAATTTCGCCCTCGAAGACGAGCATCGAACCTGATCCCCTATTGAGTCAAACTGAGACCTTACTGAACAATGAGACCCATGCCAAAGAAGAAGTAGTCGTGGCCCAGTTCGGCGACGTGGGGGGGGGGGGGCATTTCGCTTCTCACTGATGTGTCGACCCATCTAGATAGCCTTTCTTGAGTTGACACGTTTTACCATGGTGGCTAGACGAGCTTGCTCCAGCTTCACAAGAGTTCACAAGTTTCACCAGAGTGAGACTTGTAAACCGGAAGTAGTGAAGCAGTGAAAGTGCAAAATGCCCCCCTCCCCGTCGTCGAACTGCGCCGGAAATCGTTACAGGCCATGGATTCTCCTACAGCATCAATGAGCACTTTCGTTAGTTGGTGGAAAAAGGTCCATTGGTGAATGGGTTCTGCAGGCTGTCGCTTGGCAAGAGGGCGCCTCATGCAGTGCACATTCACGAGGTCCAAACTTCCATCTTTTAGTCGCTTACTCAGACCAAATTTACCCCGTCTTGAGAAGCACCTCATACACATCAAACGTTTAAAGCTGCTCACCATTGCCATTACTTACCGGCCGACCCAATACTTTTGTAGCGGTGCCGAACATGATGATATACTCTCAAGGAAAAAAACAGGGAAAAAGTAAAATCATCCAATAGAACAAGCCGAAAACCCCGAACCGAATGCGCCCCGTCCTACTCCCTCCCCCTCCAGTGATCAGATAACGATCTCAGGCATGCGACGCCGAATGCCCTGGTGGCGAAATTGATACGTATACGCGGCTGGGCAAGAGGAATTGATATTCTGGAAGGATTTCTGCTCGGGTTGCGTTTTGAGGGTACTTGAAGTGATACACATACATGCACTATGTGAAGAACTTTCTCATTTATTACTCCTCGACGTTTTGTTCATAAAAAAATACTTTTTCATAGAACATTTCTTCTGGATAGAAATCGCATACGTGGAGATCATCTATTACTACAGAAAAAGCAATAATTACAGTGCACATCTTGCAGAACATGATGAATACGTAAGTTAATGGTGAAGAGACGATCAGATTAGAAAACAGTTCATCCCCAGTATGGTCCTCCGCCGTAGAATGGTCGTCCCCATGGACCGCCACCGTAGCCGCCACCATAGTATGGTCGTCGCCACATTGGTGGTCCCCATGGTCGATATCCCCATGGGCCGCCGCCATATGGCCGATAGCCGCCCCATGGGCCATATCCTGAAAAAAACAGCATTTTGAACTCAAAATCAAAACCATTTCGCGAAGCGGACTCTGCATAATATAAATCCGCTGAAAATCTTATTCTGAGGGGTCACCCTCCTACCTCCAGGTGAGGGAGTCCTACTGTGTAGTGCTGGCGAGCGACAGGGGTGGGTGGAAGACTTAGTTGAGAATCGGCGTTCATCATTGGTCCTGCACCCACCAAGCCCAGCTACGCCAAGTTATATCCGGCATCCCCTCCCCACTAGCCAATACGACTCTCCCCCCGCATCCGCACCGTCCCAACGAGACTCCATCTCGCAAAAACACGTCAGTAGCACCTGTTCTATCTAAAACAGAAGTACGCCACCGAGCCTTTTTCTACCCTTTCAAACCTCAGAGAGGAGGAAGTCCCTCTCCCTCTTCGAACTCTCCCGCTCATTCTCTGTCTAGAGCCCAAAAACGAACTGCTCCTTCACTTCCATGAAGGATTTAGGGCATGAGCTGCACTAGCTACGAAAATAAAGCAGTAAGCCCTCTATAAAAACGCCAGAGGGAAGTTCCTCATTTCATAAGACAGGTTAGTATTCCGTTCATGGACTGTGGATGCAATCCCGCATTCCGCTCTGGGATAGAGGATCCTTAAAGCTCAGTTCTGGTCCCAGCTTTTTTCTAGGGCTAATTGTCCTTTTGCAGAGTGTTGAAGGCTCCAGTAATCGCAGAGGGGGAGGCTCAAACAAGCAAAATGCGGCCGCTAACCTCACGAGGTACCTACAAAAGTGGCTACAGGTCTCTGGCTACCTGTGAAAGTGAGAGCTCAAATAGTATTCTTTTAGGACTCACCCCATTGGGCATCCACAAAGCATGCAAAGGCGAGCACACCAAGAAGAAGCAGCAGAAGATTTGACATCATCTGAAAGTGCTCAGTCTATACTAAGAACTTACTAAGATCTTAGCTAAAGAAAAAGGAGACGAAAAAAGGAAAGCGACGTGTTCATAAGGAAGTAACTGGCGATCGCCGGGCTAACATCGATTTATATACTATGCGTTCTGGGGGGTGGATCTCGTCGGGTGATATCATTAACGAACAGATCGAAAAGTATGATTGTTAACAACAAGGACGCGCCGTGCTTTGTCCAAAGAGCGACAGCTCATAAACTAGGACTCGATGTCGCGCCATCGGGACCAAGGTCAAGGAACCGCCACTCTGAGAACCGTTCTTCAGCGTAATCTAAAAGTGTTCACGAATGATGTATAAATAGCGAACAGTTCAACTATTTGATCCAATTAAAAGATCGAATTTACCGTCCAAAAGGGGTTCATAGGATTTTGCAAAAACTAGAGGGTGCAAACCGCAAGGAGTAATAGGATGCAGACGTGGACAGATGGAAGGATGGACATATTCTGGACAGATGGACATATTCTAGTACCACTAAGGATACCTTCAGAGTTTGCTTTACTCCTTTCTGTCAACTACATATTCTTTCTCAAGCTCCATTTTATTTTTTGAGCTATTATTATTTCCCCGAGAATCCACTGATTCATTTATTCATTTTCCCTGTTGAAGTTGTTATCTGCGGTTTTATTGGTGGAGGGGGGGGGGGTTGTGGAGGGATTCAAAGTGCAGCGCCAGAGCATGAAGGAAAAGTGAACATCCCGACGTTCCGTTTTATGGACGGATAGAATTTTGAGCTTTCTCTGTTGATGGCAATAATGGATAACTTTCCAAGATTATCCCTCTTTAAGACGTTCCACCAATTCTGCACTCATTTAGACCTGAGGTGGCATAGGAGGGCTGATTGACCTGTAGAGTGACCTACAGGGCCAGTCGATTAGTGTAGAAGCTATTTCGTTCCTTTCCTGCACATGTCCGGTGCCAGTACTCGTTGCTCCTTTTTTGTTTCTTTTTTACTGTACTTAGAATACTGCCAGCATTTTCCGCTTCAAATAATTCTGGTGTAAACGTCGCGCATGTGACTTGCAGCCCTGCTTTCGTCTTTCCTTGCACTTCACCGTCTTAGCATGTGGTATTTCTGTTTTTTTCCCACCAGCGCAACGCATTTTCGAGTTGGTTTCGATAAAAAAGTAAATAAACGAATAAGTGTACAACCCCAACAATATTCATGTGAAAGCCCTGATTTTCGTGAAACTAGAGCGCGCTCCAGTTATTTAGACCACTTGTTCAGGAGACTTTCTCACCTGCTCAACCAATACGCTCTTTCATACTAATTTGTTCAGTTCCGTGTTTATTCATTTCTTTATTGACTTATTTGTTTACCTCTTCGTTTTATGATTTTCGGAGATAATTCCTAGTTCTGATTGTTTTTCAATATTCCATAGTTGTCTTGTGATGCAACTGCTGATCAGAATTTAGGCGTTCAAATAGGCAAACACTGCAAAACTTTTTCTGATAAACACTTATTCGACAAACTAGAGTCCCGTGGCTACTATCTAAAGAGTACCAAGCCCAAGGTCAAACTTTCGCTCAGTTGAGGCCACATACAAAGATCAGTCTATTTTATGGCAGTCAGGCGCATCAAGGAAGTTTGCTGACCCGTGAAGGAGTTACGTAAAAAGACACGTACAAGGAAGTGACTTCGCTGAGATAGCCATTTATAAAGGCGCCAAGCCCAAAGTTCTTTCCACAGTGCGGAGACCTCTTTAGCCGCTTTTGTACTGCTCACAATTATTTATTTATTTATTTATTTATTTA